TAAAAATAGTACTGCCATTTGACCCAGTGATCTCACTTCCAGGAATATATCCTAAGAATCCCTAAACCCCAACCAGAAAGAATAATGCATCCCTACATTCTTAGCAGCATTATTTACAATAGCTAAGATCTGGAAACAACCCAACTGCCCATCAGTAGATGAGTGGATAAAAAAGCTGTGGTACATTTACACAATGGAATACTATGCAGCTGTAATAAAAGAAGGATCTATTACCCTTTGAGACAGCATGGAGTGATCTGGATATTATTATGCTAAGTGAAATAAGCCAATCAGAGAAAGACAAATATCACATGTTCTCACTTATTTGTGGAATATAATGGACACAATAAACTGATGAATAAAATAGAACCAGTGGCATGGAACAGACTGATGAATCTCAGAGGGAAGCGGGGGGAGGGGGCACAAAGAGATTAACCAAAGAACTTATATGCATTGCCCATGGACACAGACACTAAGGTGGTGAAGGCCTGAGGGGGAGCAGGAACCAGGTGGAGGGGGGCAATGGAGGAAACAAGGGGACATATCTGTAATACTCTCAACAATAGATTTTAAAAAATAAAAATAGTATCAATTTAAGAAATAAATAGAACTTGAAGTTTTTTAGGATACCATTTATAATAGTATCAAGTTCCTAGAAACAGAGTTAACAAAAGATGTGCATGACTTCAAGAAAATTGTAAAACTTTATTGAGAGAATTTAACAAGCCAAATTATCAATAGAACAACAGCATGTGTGTGTATGGCTTTGGCTTCTCTTCTTTTTAACGTATCACAGTCCATCACCTAAAATATAAACATAACAATTGGGTAGATTACTTAGTAGACCTTTACTTACATGATAATAAAGGTACACAAATAATATTACACTTTTGCTTTTATAAGATGAAACTAAAACCAGAACCCAAACCAATACATAGATTTCTATGCTAATGTCCACTTTCAGGCATATGAGCACTAATTTTTTAAATGCATCACTTTTTGGTGGTGTGAAAAAACACAGATTTCTCAAGCCCAGAAAAGATCAAATCCTACGAGCCTATTTGATAATAACTTTTAGAGAGTAAAACTTGCCAAAGATTTCAGTTAAAGTAAAATCAACGAAACAAAAATTCCAAGAAGCAAAACAAACAAGCAAGCAAACCCAGTGTTATTTAAATACACTGACTTGAAATATTCTTCTAATTATATACACTAGCTAAAATAATGATGCCATACTGTTTAATTAAAGAGAGGGCAAAGAACAGCATTCTATTTGGTTTGTCTTTTTTGAACAAAAATATTTCATTGATCTAGTTCAACTTTTACATGGCCTATTTATAGTAAGTTGGCCATTTCTACTTGCACCTGTTGTCCTATTGTAAGTAGTTATAGCACCCCCTTTGACTCCGAAGAATGTCCAGGTTTGAATGATAAAAATTACATAGTCACACTAGTTTTTTTTTTTTTTTTTTTTTTTGTTCAGGTAGAGTAGGAGGGGGAGAGAGGAACAGAGAGAGAGAGAAACATCGATGTGAAGGGACACATCGAGTGGCTGCCACCCGCACGACCAACCAGGGCCGGGGACAAACTGCAACCGAGGTACATGCCCCTAGCGGGAACCGAACCCGGGTCTCTCGGGACCGCAGGCCGATGCTCCAACCACTGAGCCAAAACGGCCAGGGCCATAGTCACACTAGTTTTAAGCCATTACCATCATAGATGAAATTAAAATGTGAAGGAAATAGTATCATTTCTCAGCCTGGCTCACAACTTTAAAAAACCAACAAACCAACCTAGAAAAGCCAAAACATACAGATCCATATTATTTTTTGGTGTCTGTAAGATAAAGTGATTTCTGAGAAACAATTCTGGCAAATTAAGAAAAATCAATACTATTGTGTTGGTTAGATATCCAATTAGTATTGTGGTATTTTAAATAATTTATATAATCTAAAAGGTATTTTATCACTTGTCTTGTATATTAAAGGACTTCTACTCCAAAGTAATAATACTTTCATGTTTTATAATTCAATAACATGGCTGTGACTTAATTCATTGTTTTCCCTGACACTGTCTTTGAATCAAGCATTTGGTGTCTCAACTGCCTTTCAACAAATCTTTGTATGTGTGATGTGTTATGAAAGTATAATACTATTGTAGAAAAGAGCGACCCCATGACTTGCATTCTTAATGGATAACATACCTTTTGGAGTTTTAGCAGGCAATGGAGGAGTTGGACTCTTCCCTTTCACATCAGAGCCATCTGCACGCTCACCACCAGGCTTTCCCAGTCCCATTTTCTGCATTTTGCATTCCAATTCAGGTTCTTAAGTAAATAAAGAGTTATTAATGTAAGTAGTAAACCATAAATTAATGCTATTAAATAAAGCTCTGTAGGTTAGTATTATAATAAATGTGATGCATAAGAAAGCAATGAGCATTAATGGGTTTTCTGCTAGAAAATAGAGTTGTATTTCTCATATATTACCTCCTCTATGAGGTGTTTCTTTTTCTAAAGCTGTTTAAGATAACTTAGTTGTCACCTTTGTAACCTATATACACTTCTATTATTGCACCTATCTCATTAGATCAGCTATTTGTTATACAGATTTCTCTGACAAGATTGTGAGCTCAAGAAAGAATTCATTCTCTCATTTCTATTTATATCCTCAGCATCTAGTACCTTACCTGCCACCAAGCAGGCCCCAACAAATGAGTGAAAAAAGTATTTTAAAACAGTAAAATGAGCCCTGGCCCATTTGGCTCAGCAGGTGGAGCATCGGCTCATGGACCAAAGAGTCTCGAGTTCGATTCCAGTCAAGGGCACATGCTTCAGTTGCTGTTTGGTCCCTGGCCATGGTTGGGGTCATGCGGGAGGCAACTGATTGATGTGTCTCTCTCACATTGATGTTTGTCTCTGTCTCTGTCTCTGTCTCTCTCTCTCCCTCCCTCCATCCCTCCCTCACACTCTATAAATGTAAAAGTATCCTGGGGTGAGGATTTAAAAAAATAAAATAAAATGAGACAAACCCAAACTGAGGAACATTTTACAAAACAACTAGTTTGCACTGCAAAAAAAAAAAAAAAAAATGTCAATCATGAAAGAAAGAAAAACTGAGGAACATTTCCAGGTTAAAGGAGTCCAAAGAGAGATAAAAACTAAATACAGCCCTGGCTGGTGTTGCTAGTGGTTAGAGTGTCAGCCTGTGCACCGAAGTGTCACAGATTCAATTCTCAGTCAAGGGCAAGTACCTGGTTTGTAGGTTCGATCCCCAGCTCTGGTTGGGGTGCATGCAGGAGGCAGCCAATCAATATGTCTCTCTCACATCAGTGTTTCTCTCTCTCCCTACCTTCCTCCCTTCCACTCTCTAAAAATCAATGAAAGAAATATCCTCAGGTGAGGATTAACAACACAAAAACAAACAAAAAAATAAAGTAAATACGATGGGGGGGGGGGGATCTTGGATTCCTGGGCCAGGAAAAAATAATGCTCTAAAAGACATTGCTAGGCCAACTGACTACATATTAAATAATCATTATTTTCTCTATGTTAAATTTCCTGAATTTTAAAAAATTGTTGACAGTATTACAGATATCCCCCATTTCACTCCCCTTTTGCCTCCTCAACCCCCCACCCTACAGCTAGGGTTATGTAAGAGAATATCCTTGTTTTTAGGAAATATATACTGAATAGAGAGTAGAGAGTTATATTTAAAATTTACTCTGAAATGGTTTAGCAATAATAACATATGTATTAATATCTAAAGAGAGAGAGCAATATTTTACAAAATGTTAGCAATTGGTGAATGGAGGAAAAGAGGATATAAGAGTATACTGTACTTATAACTTTTCTGTAAGTTTTAAATCTTTTCTAAGTGAAAAGATTTTTTTTAAAAGAATATGTGACAATTAGATTATGGTTCAGGAAGACAAAAATATTGCAGGCTAAACAGCAGCTAGGAAAAGATTTTACATTTTTATTTCTCTATATTATGAAAAAATTTAAATCACAATCTAAGAGCTAACCAAAATATTCCTAGGTTTGCCTAAACTTTTTATGCGATGACTTAAGAAGCCCCCTAAAACATTTCAAGACGACCAAGTTTAACTAGTGAAATAGTGTATCATTTTGCCTAGATTTTATATTGTTTCCTTTGATTTGCTGATATAGACCCTTGGCAAGGATTATATTTTCCAGGCATGACAAATAATTTAAAATATGGGATAGGTAAAATGCTAAAAGAAGGAAAACTTATCAGAGAGAGGGACTGCAGCTGCAAACTATACCTTTCCTTGGTTTCTAGCCAATTTTCAGGGAAACTTTTATTTATTACTGTTACTAGTACAACATCATAAATGAAATACAAAATGTTCCTTCATCCCCTCTTCACCTTTAACCGCAGGTGCTCCCTCTTGTCCCTCTTGTCTAGGTTGAAAATACAGATTCTCAGTTGGTAGTTCCTCTTGATGAGATTTCTTGTTACGTGGTCGCTGGGCCTTGTAGGAGTGTACATACAAATGAAAAGTATTCTTATTATTACTGTAACAATAGAAGGCACAAATATACATACTACATGGAGTAACTAATCACAAATCTGAAAAGGTTTTTCCTAGACTCGTCTCTGTAAGTATTCTTAATAGAATTCTTATTCTTCCTATACAAAAAATACTCTAAGAAAGGAGTTATCTGCAAGGATAATTCTAGAAACCATTTAAATCTTTTCTGGGCTGTGTGCTATTTATTAATAAACACAATAGGGAAGCCATTGGGATGATTTCCAGGCTCTCATATCAATATACCTATACAGGCAACAGCAGTATACAAGTTTCCTTGCTCAATGTCTCATTCATAACTTTCAGTTTTCACCTATTTTCAGTAAGGAAGTCCTTTACACAACAGATCTGTATTGGTTCAACAATTTTGCAATTTTTTTTTTAAGAAAAATTAATTTTTCTGAATGGAATTAAGATGTTAAAGCACTTACAAACACAGGTTCAACCCGATCGAAGGACTCTTGACCATCTGGTCTTCCTCTAGATCCTGATCTTACTGGGTTCATATTTCACACTGAAAGCAGAAAATCATGAAAAAGTATAATTATACTGGACTATTTCCCTGATCCACTGCTGGTTATAAATTCTTTTTTACATTTGGTGAGACTTCCAAAATAAATCTTGAATTAATAATAACTGCCCGGGCCGGTTTGGCTAACTGGTTAGAAGGTGGCCGCCTGTGGACCAAAGGGTCTCGGGTTCAAATCAGATCAAGGGCAGGTACCTCAGTTGCGGTTGGGTCCAGCCCTGGTCGGGTAGTGGGGAGGGGGGACGACACAACCAATCCATGTGTTTCTCTTACATGGATGTTTCTCTTTCTCTTTCTCTCTCTCTCTCTCTCTCTCCCCTCCCCCCACCCCTCCCACTCTATCTGAAGATAAATGGAAAAATATATTTGGGTGAGGATTAAAAATAATAATAAAAACTGCTCATTTTCCAGTCACATGATATTCAATGTGATTTGCTATCTGCAAACCCCATTGCTTCTCTCACGCTAATATGGGAAAGAAGGAACCATTCAAGTACTTTTTTTTTTAAAAAGTACGACTTTCCTAAAGAGATCTACTTTCACAACTACACTCGCCAGTATAAATACATTTTGTAATATATAGCCACGTCCAGCCCTCCACTGACAACAGATTCTGTGCTCTTTTGGCAGTTTCAGGCGCCTCGAAGCCTCAGATGCCTCCAACACCACCCTCAAGACTGGCCCCATCTCCATTAGAGACCCTGCCTCCCCCCCAGCCTCCGCGGCCCACCATGCTCCCTTGTCCTAGCTCTGCTACAACAAGGGCCATGGCGGCCTTGATGCCTGTAAGGAGAAAGAGGACGACCTCGAAGACCTTCCTCCTCGGAGTCCATAGGGCGAGCCACCTCAATAAGTATAAGGGCTGCTGGCTCTTTCCTTACACTTACTCACACTTAAACTCCCGGTAGGACTGACCTGGTGGACCTACCAGTTGAGTCAAAGCCAGCGATAAAGAAACCGCAAGACGCGACCCGCCCAGCTCTGCACACTGAACCTTGCACTACCGCCAGACGGTGGTTCATGGGAAGGCCAGGCACTGGGCATGCGCACTGCGTCCTGCGTGCGCTGCATGGGCTAGTATCCCCGCCCCCTCTAGGGCCCCATGGACGACTTATGAGTTTGTCCTCTGCCTGCAGTTCCTGGGGCCTCCAGGACCCAGACACCTCAGATAACTCTCCCCACCTTTAGCTGACCCCTCCCCTCCGTGGCCCACCACCCTTCCTTGCCCTGGTCCAGCCACAAGGGCCATGGTGACCACGACATCTTAAAGGAGAAAGACCACAACCTAAAGGACCTTTTTTATTATTATTTAATCACCACCCAAGGCCATTTTTGCATTTATCTTCAGATAGAACAAGAGGGAGAGAGGGAGAAAGAGAGAGAGATAAACATTGACGTGAGAGAGACACATAGACTGGCTGCCACCCACACAACCCCAAATGGGGCCGGGGACAAACTGCAACCGAGGTACGTGCCCTTAGCAGAAACCAAACCCCAGCCTCTCTGGTCCGGGACCCACGCTCTAACCACTGAGCCAAACCGGCCAGGGCCTAAAGGACCTTCTTTACCGGAGGCCACAGAACCCGCCTAAAGCCCTCCAGACCCGCCTGAAGCTCTCTGACTCTCTCCCCACAAGCACTCATTCACACCTGTTCACACTCACTCGCCACCAGACTGCAGAGAAACTCGTGGAGTATCAGAAAGGAAATGAAAATGGTAAGTACCTTTCACTTCCAGCAAAACACAACCTCCGCAGAGTCAACTCCGCCAGCCAGTCCCAAGCCTCAGAGGTATGCGTGGTAACACCCACACTACTGCACAGTAAGTAATGTGTGTCATGTGGCTGATGGTTCCAGCCCTCCCTCAGTTGCAAGCTCCACCCCACTGGGCGTAGAGAATTGTTTCCCAGTCCCAGAAAGGACTTATCCTTGCCTTCTCCACCCCACAAAAAACTTTCAGGCTGTGTCTAGGAACGTTCCCAATCCTGCACCGCACCTGCTAATTGCCCCTCCAAATTTTCCCCTCGGTGCAGATGCCTTAGTGACCCTCAAGAGAGCCTGCAGTCTCCCCGAAGTTGCGTAAACGCTTTATTAGGGACTGAAAAATTGCAAGGCCATTTAAAGCATAACAGGTATCCAGAAAAGGTAAAAAGAATAGATAAATCCAACTACACAAGCCTTAAAACTTGCACACATCCTGTGGCCAGGTATTTTTACTTCTTTATGTTAAGGAAATTGCCTTGGATGTGGAAAAAAGATGTAGATACATGGCATTTACAAAGCAGTTTAATTTATAAAAGCATGATTATGGACTTACTATGTAATTAAACTATGGCACTTTTTTTTCAATTACATTTTACACTCAATATTTTGTATTAGTTTCAGGTGTACAGCATAGTGGTTAGACAATCACACTTTGCAATGTGTTCCCACCCATATTTCCAGTACACATCTGTCACTGTACATAGTTATTACAATATTATTGACTTTTAATGTTATTGAATATTATTCCTATGCTGTACTTTACATCCCCATGACTACCAATCTGTACTCAATCCCCTAACCTTTTTCACCCAGTCCCCCTCTGGCAACCATCAGTCTGATCTCTATATCTATAATTCTGTTTCGTTTTTTTGTTCATTTATTCTGTTCTTTAGATTCCACATGTAAGTGGAATCATATGTTATGTGTCTTTCTCTGACTTGTTTCACTTAGCAAAATTGACCACTAAGTCATCCATGATGTAATATTTCCTTCCTTTTAAGGCGAACTAATATTCCAATGTATATATATACCACTACTTCTTTATCCACTCATCTATTAATGGGCACTTGGGTTGCTTCCATATCTTGGCTATTGTAAATAATGCTGCAATGAACATAGAGATGCATATATTCTTTCGAATTTGGGTTTTGGGTTTCTTCGGATATATATACTGAAGTGGAATTGCTGGGTCATAAAGCAGTTCCATTTTTATTTTTTTGAGGAAGCATCATACTGTTTTCCATAGTGGTACACCAGTCTGTATTCCCACCAACGGTACACAAGGGTTCCCTTTTCTCCATAGCCTCACGAACACTTGTTGTTTGTTGATTTACTGATGATAGCCATTCTGACAGGCATGAGATAATATCTCATTGTGGTTTTAATTTGCGTTTCTCTGATGATTAATGACGTAGAGTGTCTTTTCATATGTCTATTGGCCATCTGTATATCTCCTTTGCAGAAGTGTCTGGTCAGGTCCTTTTTGTCCATTTTTTAATTGAATTGTTTGTTTTTTTGGTGTTGACTTTTATAAGTTCTTTATAAATTTTAGATACCCCTATCAGATATATCATTGTTGAATATGTTCTCCCATTCAGTGGGTTTTCTTTTCATTTTATTGACGGTTTCCTTTGCTGTGCAAAAACTTTTCATTTCGGTGTAGTTCCATTTGTTTATTTTTTCTTTTGTTTCCCTAGGCCAAGGAGATATATCAGAAAAAAATGTTGCTGAGATTTTACTGCCTATGTTTTCCTTAAGCAGTTTTATGGTTTCAAGTTTTACAATTATGTCTTTAATCCATTTCAAATTTCTTCTTGTATATGGTGTGAAAAAGTGGCCTAGTTTCATTTTTAGTATGTATCTGTTCAATTTTTCCACAACCATTTATTGAATAAACTATATTTATCTCATTGTATGCTCTTGCCTCCTTTGTCAAATATTAATTGATCATTTAGGCATGGGTTCATTTCTGGGCTCTCTATTCTGTTCCACTGATCTATATATCTGTTTTTATGCCAGTAACATGCTGTTTTTATTACTATGGCCTTGTAGTATACTTTTGTATCAGGTAGGATGATTCCTCTAACTTTGTTCTTGTGTTTTTTATGGTTCCATATAAATTTTTGGATTATTTGTTTTAGTTCTGTGAAATATGCCATTGGTATTTTGATAGGAATTGTGTTTAATCTATAGATTGCTTTGGGTAGTATGAACACTTTAATGATGTTAATTCATCTTATCCATGAACACTATATATGCTTCCCTTTATTTATATTTTCTTCAGTTTCTTTCTTCAGTACTTATAATTTTCTGAATACAGGTACTTTATATTCTTGCTTAAATTTGTTTCTAGCTAGGTATTTTAATTTTTTATACAATTGTAAGTAGAATTGTTTTCTTAGTTTACTTTTCTGCTAGTTTATTATTGGTGTATAAAAATGCAACTAATTTCTTAATATTTATTTTGTATCTGCTACTTTACTGGATTTATTTTTCAATTCTGGTGGATTCTTTAGGGTTCTCCACATACAGTATCATGTCATCTGCAAATAATGACAGTTTTACTTCTTTCTTTCCGATTTGGATGACTTTTATTTCTTCTTATTGTCTGATTACTGTGGCTAGGACTTCTGGTACTATATTGACTATGAGTGTACATCCCTGTCTTGTTCCTGATCTTAAGAGAAACACTTGTAGTTTTTGCCCATTGAGCATAATGTGTCTGTGGGTTTGTAATACATGGCCATTATTATGTTGAAATATGTTCCCTCTATTCCCACTTTGCTGAGAGTTTTTATTATAAGTGGGTGTTGGGTTTTATCAAATGCTTTTCTGCATCTTTTGATATAATCATATGATTTTTAACCTTCATTTTCTTTATGTGTTTTATCACATTAATTAATTTGTGGATATTGTACTAACCTTATATCGCAGGAATAAATCCCACTTGGTCATGGTGTATGATGTTTTAAAAGTATTTCTGGATCCTGTTTGCTAATATTTTGTTGAGGATTTTAGCATCTATATTCATGAGGGATATTGGCCTATAATTGTCTGTCTTTGTCATGTCTTTATCTGGTTTTGGAATTAGGATAATGCTGGCTTCATAAAATGAATTTGGGAGTTTTCCCTCTTCTTGAATTTTTTTATAGTTTAAGAAGGATAGATGTTAGTTCTTCTTTGAATGTTGGGTAAAATTCACCTGTGAGGCTATCAGGTCCA